AATTATTTCAAAATTATTTCAAGCAATGTCTAAATATGTTGGAGTTAACATTATTGCTATTATATATATTGTTGATAGTGATGGCAGTGTTGATAAGACGATGATCATTTTATTACTACCAATGATAAGGATTTTGCTGTGCAAGTTTTGTTTTTGATGGGGAATACTTATCAACAAGGACCCGGATGTTCATTTCGTCTTCCTTCTTCATTTCCTTTGTGAAACCTTTCAGCGGACTTTGCACCCATTCAAATTTAAGGTTTATATGAGTTAAGTATCCCCTATCTCTTTCCTTTTGTCAAAAATTAACAATGAGAGATGCATTGATATAAATAATGACAAATACCGCATAGTTGTTAGAAATTTGCATAAATATGAATGAGTCGTAGCGTTTTTTCCTCTATGTATGTGAATATATGAAGACATAACATTTCAGATATTTTTCGGTGCGTTTAATGATGTGTGGGTGATATATTGTTCGTACTGTTGAATTAGGATGAAAAAAGAGGAAAAAAGCGTTTATCTGGGTTGAAAGTGGTGAATTTTTCATTGATTTTGTTTTTCTGATAGTAATTTAAGAAGTTCTTTGCGTCCATTTAATTTAGATGAAATGAAATTTCCCTCTATTATGGCTAGTTTTTCGACAGTATTACTTAAATGTCATGTTGCTTGTTATACAATTGTTTGGAATCAGAGGGAAAGAAAGGTGTCCACTTACAGTTCACGTTATTGCTAGATCATTCAAGATGAGCAAATATATAGCCAAGAATTAGATTCTAGACTAGTCTCAACGAACTTCATTCAGGACACACTCCTGTATAGGTACGGCGAGGAGGGAGTGGTACGCTTCCAAAATCTGTTAATGGTATTCGACGTTGCATCAATCATATTTTTACGGGCCGTGGGGCCATACTTCCCGCGATTTTCAGATTTGAATGTTGCTAAAGGTTTAGTTTCAGCTATTGTAAATTGGTCGTTGGAGTGGTGGAATATGTTATGGTATGGTTGACGTTTCTGTGGTATTTGTGGTGCGGTTGGAATTTTTGTGATACTTATGGTATGCTTAAAGTGTTTGTGGTACTACTGAGTTTCTGAAAGTAGATCATTTTGAAGTGTCCTATCCTGTTGATTTATTCCGTGCTCATCCGTGTATTTTGTAGGTTTTTTGCTATAATATGTTACGTACTTTTGTTTTGATATCAAATAAGTACAGGATAGCATGAGGGCGAAGCAGGCGCTAAGGCGGATGTATACAGTATAAATGAAATGTGAATTTTTAATGCTTTGTCTACGAAACCTACGTTGAAAGAACATTATCAGCTTACATTTCAGAATTAGGTTGAAAGCTTTGGAAGATAGAACCATTTCATGGCAGACAATTCTTGGTATCGCGTTGATCGTATTCTCTCCGAGAAGTATGAAAAAAGGGGTTCTCGCTTGGAGAAGCTATATCAAATTTTGTGGGCGTAAGGTTTTTTGAAACATCGGAATTTTGGAATAGGTTGACATCACCTTTAACTGATTGCTCTAAACTATCGCTTTGTCTATTTGCAAATTCTGTTTCGCGATGGTGTCTCTGTAAACTGTCTCTGTAAACTACGTTTTTTTTTTTTCTTTTCATCTCCTGTAAATTCCATAAATCTCGAAAACTACCAACAAGAAATAAGATAAGTTACATTTTCTATCCGCATTTCTTACGACTAGCAGCTTGAATAAATTATAAATAGTTGCTGTACAGTTTTTTGATAGAAATTGTCTGAAGGCCTACATGGGAACCAGCAAAACGAATAAATGCAGAAGTTCCTTTAATTGTGGAAGCATATGAAAAACAGAAGCAGAAAGGTCACCTCGAATCCAAAGAAACAGATATTGAGCCTCTTGAAGCAACTGCTCAGTCTAGTGCAGAAAGCTCTAAACGAACTCTTAATTCGGTGACTCATCCAGCTTATAGTTATGTTAACAACGAGACACGAATATAGATCACTGTTATTAGATGATTTAGTGAAATTTCTGATCAGAATCTTCGGTTACTTGAAATTCAGTTATCTAAGCGCGAGATAATGTAGCTTTATATGCTGATTACCGTCAGAAATGAATTATAAAAATGAATTATAGGAATGAATTACTGTGTTTTGCAGTAAATGAAATGAAAGTTGTAACTTTATTAAATATTACCATGGTAATAGTTTTCTTTGCAGAAAAAGATCAAGATTATCGGTGTAGTTAGTGATAACGGACGGAATGTTGAAAACTCGACGTTATTAGTTGAAAAGTAAGTTTTCTTTTATGGTAATGATATATACATATTCATTGCAATTATAGGTTCTTGAACTCTTAGGATCTGATCTTCAATCAATTTGTGTAATATAACATTCCTGCTGACTCAGTTATGTATACTGAACATGATGACACATAGAACACAATAGGAAGCAATAGCAATGTGAGGCAGTTTTTTCATTTCAGCGGTAGTTGATGTTATTAATATTCAAATATAGATATTTTTTTTTTTTTTTTGTTGTTGCAGCGAGTCTAGTGGTAAACAATGGTGTATGCAGTATGAAGACATTAAAAGAAAATATTCAATTGAATTGATTGAATTCTTTGAGGGGTGCGTCTCTGGTTTCACGAAATGATCTCAGAATTATCACAGTAGTAATTTACCAGGAAGTGTCTGTTTTTTTATTCTAATTTATTTATCGAAAATATTTGTTTCGCTAGCAGTCAAATATCCACAACAGAGAAAAGAGAAACAAGGCTGCCATGGTCTACGATCGGTGGGTGCATCTGTGTTGTGAACGAATGTTGTGAAAGCCAGAATTTGAAGATTTTCCAACGTCTTGAACGTCTTGAGTTGTCTATCATGCTAGATTTTGTATATTATTATTATTATTATTATTATTATTATTATTATTATTATTATTATTATTATTATTATTATTATTATTATTTACTTTTGTACATTATTTTTTTTTTTTTTTTTTTTTTTTTTTTTTTATTTCATGATTTGTTCGTATCATTTATGAGAATAGACACTTTTATTACTGCTTCTTCCCTATGTTTCGTTGGGAATAAACACAAACTGTTCTTGAGAATTTATCGAAGTGGGGAGACTGGTGAAGTCACATTTGCAAATCTGTGTTGAAAAGCGGCATGTATTTGCACGTAGAGTAATAAGTTTTTCATATGGTCGGAGGGTGATTGTAATCTAAATTAATGGGCAAGCAACTGGAAGTGAAGTTTGCTGGATATATTTGAATTTCAAACTTGTAAGATATAAATAGCGAGGTAAGCAATAGTCAAAGGCTGATTCTGTAAGTTGAGTACTAAGGAGGATGTTACAGAGGTTGTGTTTCTAGAGATCCATGTGTTAAGAATTTAATTTAATATATCTTATATGCTCTGTTTCGAAGCTTTTTCTTATGATGTTTCAATATTTAGTCCTTAAAACTTGGGATTAATTCTCTGGATTTCTTGTCATTTAGCGTAGTCACCTTCAAAAGCTTATTTCGTTTCGTTGGATAAAAAAAAAATGGCTGATTATGTTAGAAGTAATTTCCTACTGTTCTGCTATCAGTTACTGTAGTCAAGAAATTAAAGAAGAATATAAGTGTTTTTATATATTTAGTTTTGATATTTCAGCACTTCACTATATTCCCCGTCACTTATTCGTGAAAAACTGACTTGTTTTTAGAATAAATATGTGAAGAACAAATCATTTCTCAAACAAAATGGAATATTGGGAAGACTTTAGAAAAACTGCATTTGTATCTAAATCACTTTATCTTGTTGCTAATGTTCATGCGTAAAAATATCTGAAAGGAACAAGAAGCGACCAATAATAAATGGTTGACTGAAGAGTGAAGTCCAGTGAATTTTAATGCAAGAGTGGAAACATTTTTATTCAGATCCATCGTTAGAAATTATTGCAAATCAAACATGATGCTGCCCGTTTAATGTGATCATTTTTAAAACGGGAAAATTTTCCTCGAAAAACATTTGAATGATATTTTCTGATTTATTGCAATTAAAATTTAAGTTAAAGCTGTGATTTCGATTTCGACTGGTCAAACACTACTCTTTTAACCTTTAACCTTCAGTCTTATTGATCGGTTCCTATTGATCATAATAAATATGTTTTTCTTAAACTTTCATATTGAGAACGAAACAACTTATAAAAGCATTGACACACGTATGCAAGTACACGTCTATAACTATAACAGCGTGATACATAAAACTTATTTAAATGCTGTAATCATCATAAAACAATGAGCTATAATACAAACAATCAAATACAACAATACTTAAAATAACACAAATCATCAGTAGCCGAGATCGATACTACACGGTCCATTTTTTGTTTTGAATATCGTTTATACCATTTCAATTTAAATCATGGATTTTCCTAATACTAAAATTTGAAGAAATTATATTATTTGGGCATATTTAGAAATAATAAAAGTGATCATAATAAATGCACAACCTTTTTTGAGTTTGCATCTTTCAGGACTTTTTTTTTGGTGACCTAATTAAGATGATTCTTACTTATTTAATATACAGATTCAAGAATTAGGTTGAGTGAATATTTTCAAATTTATCCTATCAAAATACATTTCATTGAAAATTCACAAAAAGTTGCTTCAATAATGCATATCATTTGTAGATGAATGGTTTACTCCAATTACTTAATATTTCAATATTATCATTCCTAATTAATATAAATTTAATATTCTCTATTGACTAAAACTTTTTGTTTTTCAAATTATTTGGGTTGAAAAACATCGTACATATAAAGAAGAAGGTAAGTGGTATTAGTATAGATCCCCTCACAGATCTGTAATAATAATAATTAATATAATAATAATAAACAATAATAATGATAATAATGATAGTAATAATAACAATAGCAGTGGTAGCAGTAGTAGCAGAATATGAAAACTAATAGAGAGGACTTTAAAGCTTTGGTGACACTTTTTATCAGTAAGATGAATAAGCTCAGTTATCTAATCATCCGGTTGAAGGATATCCAGGAATGGATTTTTTCGTGGCAGTGTTACTCTTAGTTTTGCTACTGGCATTGATGATACTGTCATATCCACTGAAATAATTTGGATGAATTTTTTTTTTTTTTTTTGATGATAAACAATTCTTTGTTGAACGTTTTTCTTATTGTGAATTTTGTATGCAATAATCAGTAGAATTATCAAATTATTTATTGTAAATTATTTTGCAAAATTTAATTAAGCTTTTCTTATGTAATTATAAAAATACTCTACAAAAAAAAAAAGAAAAATTGAAATCTTTTACAGTATTTGCAGAATATAAAAGTAATTACTCAAATTAGAATTATTGAAGATTAAGTCCAATTATATTAAAATCACAACAATTCCCTTTCTCACTTCTCATTGCTAATCACAAATTATATAAGCAAGAAACTAACCATAAATAGTACAATTTAACCATTCATCCAATCTAATTTGTTTATTCCCATCTCGATCACAAAAGCGCAAAAAATTCCGCCCACATTTTCGAACTTTATTCAACAAGCGTAGCTCATTTCGGTATGATTTCCACTCTTTCCGTTCCAATCGCTAAAACTTTTAATTTCTGTGTTCTGCTTTCAAATTCAATCCTTAAAAGAAAACGTGATAAGGCGGTTAAAAGTAATAATTGTCCTAAAATGATAAGGAGACTTGCTCTCTTCCCTTCCCTTATAATATGGATCTGATCAAGACAGTTGATGATAAGTATTGTCAGCAACTGATAATAGAGACAAACCGAATTGTTATTGACATCAAGCTGTTCGAACTTCCATCGAACAGCTTTATCTTTGCTTGTGATAGCATCATCATTTGCTTCATCACCCAAAGCCAAAATCCATTCACTAATTAGTGACGAAAATAATCGCTGATAAAATTTGGTTTTTTTCCTACCCGAACAACCTGTAATTCAAATGTTTCCATGATATTTATGCACTTCTCTATCTAACGATACGATTTTTTTGATTTAGAATGCTTAAGCAAATTAGACGGATGAACAGGTACAACCATTAATCAAGAGCTATTTAAATTTCAATTTTTGAAAACTCTAACCTTTAATTTGTCTCCTAGAAAGATCATTCTGTTGAAGTGTTCCATCACAATTTGGTTTTGCGTTGTATTTGGATGTACCGGATTGTGGAATACCGGTTTTCGGATTTACACACCAACAAATATGTGATAAACGATGGCACTGAATTCGATCAAAGAGTCTGCAAAAGAGCAGAAATTTAGCAAAGAAAGAAAAGTTGGAAAGATAATTTATTAAATTAGTGCCGAGAACTTTTTTGAAATAAACATCAATAATTTTGAAGTAAACTTACTGGAACATCAACAATTTAAAAAAAATCAATTAGTGGAGATATTTTCTTTTAAATATCTTAAATTTCCATAATGAATCAAATAAAACTACCTTTTGAACATCAAATAAAACTATCTTAAGAGAATCAAACGATGTTAGTATAAAAAAGACGATGCCGAATAGAAGAAGGTCCTCAAATTATAAACATGCTAACTGTTTTGGTGACAAATGACATTACTTGCTCTCATATCACTCTGATATCATTTAAGATCGTTATCATGCAAAAACTTACATATCAGTATCACCAGCACAGGTTGGTATATAGTTCCCATTTTCTGGATTATTTTCTAATTTTCTCATTGCTCGTTCTCGTTGTGTACGACAATCTGTTTTTCCTGAATTTACTGAATTCTTAGACTGTTGGCAGTAAGTTCAAAGTTCAAAGATCATTAAATTTATCATCAATTACTATTGATAAGGTGAGGAGAGGTTAGATAAATATGGCATTAACAAATTAATTTTTCTTCTGTTTGGAAAAGTTTTAATTCATCAGTCCACAAATTCATAAGAATTTCTAATCCTAAAAAAAAACTCCTAAAAATTTAAACAGTATTATATTAAGGTGGTTAATGTTGTAAATCTATTTTTAGAAGCTCTTTAATCATAAATTTAAGTCATTTGAAGAAAGACGACAAATGCGCCCCACCGAAAGTATCTTCTTTTACTTCATTTCGTTCATCTTCATCTTGCTCACGTTTTAATTCAGTTTCATTTTTCCGCCTACTATCAACAATTGGCATACCAATGATACCATCCGCATGAACGATACCTAAAGAAAAAAATAATTCCAACATTTCTTAATTCATTATTGTTTTAATTATTAGTGTGTTTAATATTGATGATTAGCTATTATTAATTTCACTAATTGTCTGCCACGAAGCAACAGAAGAAGCTTGTTAAATTGTTGAACAGCAAAAAAACAGATTAATGTACTAATCAAGTGGCACTTTAATTAGCTTAAAAGTGATCTAAAATAGTTTCCGATTTAATCTTTAAGCCAATTCGAACTCATATATTATTCAGCAAGAGTTATTATTTAGAAAAAAAAAAAAGTAAATATGCATTCATTGTATGAAGATAGCTTTCAACTTTGTGTGTAATCAATTATGCTTATTAAGAAATAAACAGTTGAAAGATGCTGTAATTATGTCGTAAAGATAGAAATGGCTTGAATGATAAGATGATTATGACGTGATATACGTTTCAGCCTTTTTAGTTGTACATCTTAAGTTGACATTCATCAAAAATAAAACGGACCGAAATTCAAATTTAATGGAATGATTGAGAGAAATGATTAAATTTCCAATAAGTAATTTAAAGAGAAATACTATTGATGAAATAAAATGAAGGAACCATTAATGGAACCACCAAATAATCCATTTGGCAGCTTCTTCGAGTCGTCGCGATTGTTCAGTATCAAGGTAGAATGATAGCGACCATCGTTGAAGCTCAATAAACAATTGAAGAGCAGCAGCAGCACCACTACCCAACCATTATCCCTCAAGGAATGCGTCATCTCTTAAGCAGTGACCAACAAAAATAGCCGTAAATAATGGTTACAGAAGCTAATAGTAGTGGTCATTGTAGTAAATAAACAACAAACGTGAATGGATGGATGGATGGAAATAAGGAAATCATCAGCAAAAGGCGTCTCTAATATCAAAATTGGCACAACAATGTAAACTTATTTCTTTTCTTTGTCATGAACAGAAAGATAATGAATGTATAAAGTGCTGAGTAAGCTATTTCTACTTCATTTGAAATGACAAAGTTAATAGTGTCACATTAAGATGGGTAATTAAAATCGAAGATGCTAACGTGTACAAATATAATGATATTGTCGAAGAAAATGAACAAAATAATGGTTACATGATTATTTAAAGGGAAAAGTTGACAGAAAGAATGACGAAGTATTTTAAGAAATGGCTCTATCATGAATGATAAATAACTGATAATATATAAACATGAGGAAGATGAGAAATACAAATTACGAAAAGTTAATGATAAGAACTTTTAAACTTAAATATGTTAATTAAGTAGAAGTTAAAATAGAAGTGGACAATTAATGAAATGAATATTCTGTGCTACATTTAATAAGATAAATGCTAAGCGACTACTAAAAGTAAGCAAAGCTGCAATTAAAAATTAAAATGGACATTTTGAGAAAGGTTTTTAATTCTGTTATTAGTTGGTTCTAGCTACAATAAAAAAAGAAGAAACATTAAAAAGTAATGATGAGATGTTCAAAATAACTTTCCAGGAAGAAATTAGATAAGTAAATAAACCGAGTAATCTCATGGGTATTGATCTAAACTGAGTTTCGGTACAAATTAAAATTAAAATTAAATAGAAAAAAAATTGATACGTGAAAATAAAAATATATATGTTTTTCTCAATTCTTAAAACACAAAATATAAGACGGAATGTTAGAAAAAGAAGTACTTGAACTAGTTAACTTCATTAAAATTGTTTACCGAAATTGTTTAGAAAAATAGATATGATGAAAGGATTGTGGAAAAGTTAGAAAGAGTAAGAACAGTTTCTACAGCAGTTAATAAACAACTTTCGTTTGAAAATCATTTAAACTTTTAATAATTTATTTAGATTTAGTCTGCTTATATTAGGCAATTCTATTTTGCACCAAAAATTATATTTTTTGGAATATTCACGACTGTATGAACTAAATTGTTGAGATCATACAAAATTCCTTGTTTTAAAGGTCAAATTTGCATATCCTAAAAGTACAGTGGAATAAATGAGTAACCAAGACAAACAGAAATATTATCAGAAAAGAACCTATTCCTAGAAATTTAGCTCATGTTCCAGATATAGTTTGGCCAAGCATTTGGCCAAGTCCAGCTTTTCAGCATCTCATATTTCATTTTTTCACTTTCTCTTATTTTAATCTCTTAAAGATAAAATAATGGATGAATTTTTTGCTAGCTGAATAATACGAAAACTTTCAACATCTGAATTATAAAAATCACCATCTATCTTATCATTGCATATCACATTCTCAAAACTGATAGGCTACAGACAGATTAATACAAAATGAAACGAACACAGATGGCAGGAGTGATGACTGATGGAGAATTAATAATGGCAATGATTATCATAACAATGATGCAAATAATGATAATGATAATGATAATATTGAAACGTATTATAATGAGATGCTCATATTACTGACATATAATGAATTATGACAATAAAAGAAAGAAATAATAGAAAATATTTTGTGTATTACTTTGAAAGATCAGATATCAATATTATTATTATTACATTTTGTAAATGAAGTGTAGAAGAACTTAGAAATAAGTTTAACAAAATTAAGTTATAATGTTTAACTATTTGGGGAGATCAAAGGTCAAGAGAAATTATATAAACAAACAGTTTCAGATCAGTGCACAGAAACACGCACTTGCGATAGTCGCAGGAGTAAAATCAGTTTGTTTTTTCATTTTTTTTTTTTAAAGGAAATATGTGTGACATGGTTGTGTCTCTTTGCACCTCTGAACGGAAAGTTGTCACTGTCTCCTCCCTCTACATAAACTTATGGCATATATAAATAATAGTTGAAGTTATAAGTCTGTAACAATGATACATGCATGTCTAATGCATTTCTCTGAGAGAGAGAGAGAGAGAGAGACAGGAAAAATGGATTTCAAAAAATTTTGAGGTGGAAGAAAGAATGAGGAAGAATTGACAAAGGTATAAGGACAAATTGGCGTGAAAGAGAGGAGAGGAAGAGGGAAGATTGGTAAGATTACAGTCCGATAAGGCGCAAACGATCCTATCATCTTCCTCTCTTAATTTCATTTTGTTTTTCGAACAAAAAAAGGAAGAAAAAAAGAAGGAAAAAATTGTGATAGTATGGTTCAAAAAATTATTCGTATGGGAATCATTTGATAAGAATAGGAAGTTCAAATGGGTCATTCTTGAACGAAATATTTTCAAGTGAGAATTTTGGATATTTAGATTACAATATCATAGCATTTTTAAATTTCTTGTTAGACTGTTACTTCTAATTGAATTATTTAAATTTTAAAACGGAATAGAAAATAAGTGAATAGACAAAACAAGTATAACTGAAATGTTTCATTTTTACAATTTTTTTTTATTTCATTCTGTTATCCATTATTCTTTTTTATTTTACTTAAAAGAAGAAAAATTTTTCAGTAAGTTCTAAACATACTAATAAAAGATGAAAAATTATAGCTTCTTTTACTAGAAATTGATAAAAATTTATGAAACTGCTGATAAAATAAACAAATTTGGCATCAAAATCCTTCAACAATACTACTCTAACGGGTAGAAAGGAGGAAAGGGACAGAGAGAGAGAGAGAGAGGGAGAGGGAGAAAGAGTGAGAAAGATACAAAAAGTATCATTAAATAAGGTAATCAAAAGTATGCATGACCTTTGGATTTGACCTCTAAAAATAATAATTGGAAAAGGTTGATATTATTTGCAGTGTAGTTATTAGCTTGTTCACCCTGTATTTCTTGTTTCCTTATTGACTGTTGTTGTTGTTCCTTATCCTTAATTACCATCGAAGTATTGTTGTTATTGTTGTTGCTCTTGCTATTGTTGCTGTTAGTAATGGATGAATTAGGACGAAGAGCGTTAAACATATTATATGATGCTGCAAAAATTACTGCAACGTTAGTGAAACAATCAATTAATTAATTAAGAGAATAGCTGCTTATTAATTTTATAATAGCTGTTTCATTATTAGTATTTAACAACGCAAGCTTATGAAAAAAAAAAATACATTAATATTAACAAAATTAAAATTTACAATTTAGCATAAAAATTTTTTATATGACATGTGAAAATAGTTAAATTAAAGCAAGTAATAATTGAAACACAAATAAGAAAAGATGATATTACTATGTTATGACTTTGAGGAAAGCATAAACTGAACGATTTTATTTTCAAATGAATCATATCCACCCAACACTTCTCAATCTAAGGTTATTCATTTTCCTTTCTTTCAACTGCCATATTGAAAGCAAAAATTAAAAGTAAAGCAAGCAAAATGAAAAGCCTGATAATTTTAAAATAATAATTACCACTTATGAAATATGGAGTATATTCTGAAAATGTGTAAATGAGAAGTTATTCAATTTGTCGATGAAGGAAATAACACTTTAAACGAATAATTTGTAAATTTAATAACTCATGGAAGTTGAAAAAAAAAGCGACCAAAATTTGTTACCTATGTCTATGATCCAATTCATTATCAATTTCCTATCAATCAATCAATCAGTAACGGAAAATTCAGACAGTTCTTTTCGTCTACGGATATCAATCTTCTTGATACCAAATTTTTTCATTCAAACAATGGTAATTTTCATCCACTACACCCACAGTTACTTTTATTTTTGGAAGAGAGAAAAGTTTAGGAAGAATGAACTTACTAGAAATATCAATACCTAAGCAAGTGACCCATTCACGAGCACTTATTTCACCATCCTTATTCAAATCACAATATTTTGTAAACTTTCTTGCGCACGTTTTCGGCGTAACATGCTTTCTAAACTATATAAATATTATTATTAATTTATTAGACAAGAGTTTCTTCATTTAAATTTTTTTGTAGTGACATTGCTAAAGTATGAAAACAAAAAATTCCGAATCACTAAATTTAGGAATTTCAGTTATCATTAAATTCAATAAAGTAAAATCTCATAGTAATGATTATATATGATCAAACAAGTTGCAAAATTTAAGAAGACATTTCTGGCTGAAATTGCATTTGGAATAAGATAAATTGATAAGCAAATCAAGTAAGATGATAGCTGCTAAGTAATACTAGAAGGAAAAGTCATACCGAACAAGACGACGTAAACCATCGAATTCTTTTGAATTTAATCGGCTATTCTTATCACTATCAAGCTGACCAAATTTCCAAAGTAATATCTTTTTATCAAATGATTGCATTGCTCCATTTGTGTCTAAAAAGTCAATAGAAAATGAAATAATCATAAAATTTATCAATGCTTAATTATCTTCCAGCAAATAGCTAACAAATTAGCTTATTTTCAAATATTATTAATAGAGAAGGAAAAAAAAAAAGGGCAATTCTTAGCAACTTACGATGCAAAAATTGCTCGCTGCGTTCGTATTCCTTTTTAAAAATATTCAACAAATTGGCATTGAATGTTGATCGATCGACCGTTGTACATACTGCAAATTTTGCTATGCTTAAATCAATTGCCAATTAAATTATTGTGCTAATATCGAGAAAAGAACGGAGCAGAAAACATGTTAATTGACCTTTCCATTTTTGTTGTAAGAAAGGTCATGATTTAGTGAGTAAGGTCAATATATGTAAATTCTTTTGGACACTAAGGAAAAGTTCACTTAACCAATTTCATTACAAAAATAATTCACTGTCGCATGAATCATACCATTTAAGGATACCGAATCACCGTTACTTTTTCGATGCGAACGTCGTCCAATTTTCGTCTCTAAAATCATTATCAGGAAGTACATGGCATTCGTTATCACTTATCAATCTCTTATAAATTTCTTTTACTTATCCATCAAATGGTATGGCGTATCATTAAAAAGTTGTTGTTATTAGTCTCTAATCCAAAATTTACTTTCTAATAATTTCAACAAAAATCATATCTTCGAATGGAACTCATTAAAATAAGCCAACTTTGTAAAATATGACAATTCGGAATGCCATATCGTTTAGATGTACTTGGCAACGGTCGTCCGATCCGTGTCACACACCAACAATAACCCGTGCTTTTGTGACACTGTAACATCTACATTTTATGGTACTAACCAGTTAGTGTAACTATCCTTCCTCTTCTTCTCCTTCCCTCCATGATTTTAACAAAAAGCAAAACATAAAATGTTTATTGCTATCATAGTCCAAAGTTACATGAATAAGAACTGAGAGAGACTTTGATTACTCTCTAAATCTTTTATCATATCATATCATGATATGATAAAAAATTGATAACAGAATGAATAGTTAAACAATTTTACGTTTATTTAATAAGTATGAACAAGCCTGTATGGTAGCATACGAACCATCGGTAGCATTGCATTCCGGCACGTAAACTTCACTGCTATTCATTTTTTCCGCTGCTAATTTCAACTGATAAGCTCGTTCCAGTTGACATCGCAAATTTTCTACAACAATATTTCTGATCGGAATAAATATCCTAAAGTTCTTTTAAAACTCGTTTTCACGAAATCATTTTATTTTCTTACATTTTTAATCATTTTGTTATTTTATATTCTTGCATTCGAAGATTATTTTCTGAAAATATTAAATTTGCAATAGCATCAGATTTAAAATTCATTCAATATTTGCTCATCCTTGATGTTTGCACATTTGTCTTTAACTTCTATTGAGGAAGTTAGAAACGGAATATACCGGGACAAGGTCCGGAAAACTGTTTTTTCACTGGATTACCATGGCATATAGCTCGTTTTACTTCACAATATGAATTATAGGTTCTTCCATCACTGCCACAAATCGGCTCGACATTCATTTCTTCGTAATTGCACAGTTTTTGCATAAAACACTCTTCTTCTCCTTGCTAAATATTTTGTAAAAATATGATAAATGGGTAAATAAAACAAAGTTAAACTAAAATATTCTTAAATTATAACTAAAGAAATTAAAAAAATATCAGTTTGCACTTATCATTAAAAGGTTAATCAATCGAAATAAATTTATTCCTCAAAACAATTTCAGAACTTTCTTTTTCCTTCCATTTTTTTCTTCCTTTTATTTTTGAAAAGTATACTATGCTTCATTTTTGTTTCATTGGTTACTTAATTCGTTGCAGAACACTTCTGTCAATTTATCAGAAAAACAAAAGGCTAAAAAATTATTTAAATCGATCAGTATTCATTACGAGTCTTTCAAATTTTCGATTTTTTTATTTTGATTATTCAGAAATATGCAAGCACATATCAATGTAACTGCAACTAATTAATGAGAGTTATAGGAATTCATGTAATGCGCATGTAATTATCTAAGTTAATAATAAGAAAATTGGTATTCAAGTCACCTTATTTACTTATTTCCTATTTGAAGTATTTTTTGAGATTTGAAGAATTTGAAATGCTTTTTGTGATTTGAAATAAAACTGATACTATTGCATATCTGAATCTCGTGATACGTAAAACACGTTATTCGATGGCGGAAATAAATGAATCTTTTTCATTTAAATAATTGATGTCAAAGGGTCAACATATTTTTTGGATTGTTTTTAGAAATGCTTTTACTTATACTTTTGAATTGTTACTGAAAATTTTGAAGTTTCATTCCGAGGAAATGATTTATAGCATATTTCAATTTATTTAAAGTGTTATTAACAGATCGTTGATGACATTACTAACAGAAAACTTACAGATCGTTCGCTTCTAAGTTGTGCAATTGTTGTTAATGCGAATGCATTTGTATAGGTACTGCCTAAGCCAATAAAAAAGTGAATGAGCAATAAGCAAATTGACATTTTGAGAGTGATTTGTGGCCCAGCTAGGCTATCGAATCCGCCATGCAACAATTCCAAATGTTGCTTCGTTGACAGCGCTTCCTATCATTATCACTGAATTGAAATGAATCAAAATATACAGATAGAGAGGAAATCAGAATCTGAAATTGTTGAAGATATTTAAAAATAAGCTGTGCATCATTTAGATTCTCCTTGACAACTGCATTCACATTTCCAAATAAGAAATATAATCATTATCCGTGAATCGTTTAAACGGATTATTGAAATCAGAAATGATTTCAAAACTACCGTAACCAAATGATAGATCAAAGAAGCAGGAAGAGATAATCGGATATTTGAAGAATTGTGCTTAAATAATTGCTTACCGTTTTTTCAATAATAATATTCATGAATAGCTTTCTTTCTAATTACATACATTTGCTGATGCTTTTAAAATCACTTTCGAAACAAAAAAGGAAAAAAAAAAAGAAAGGGAATATCATTAAGTCTGACCATCTGTCCTTTTGAATTAAATAAGAGAAAGTGGAGAAAAGAAAAAAAAGTACATTCTCTTTCTGTAAATCATTTTGAAAAATGAATAAATTTTTTTTTTGCTAACAAATTTTGCATTTCAATGAAATTATCTTAGCAGTACTGATTTGTACCTTTTAGTTCACTTTCACAATTTACGATTTCTAAATATATATGCATAATAAGTACTGTAAATTACAAGTTATAAATACAGATATTATCTATGCTAAATATCAAATAAACAATTAACTTATTACATAGGTAAATGCAAACCTAATTACTCAATCAATTATAGTAGAAGAGAATAAATGTAAATGTAAGATTGAAAAGTGGTAGAAATTTAGGTTTACTTCAAATTCTAGCTTTTATATCACAAGTGTAAAAGGGAAAATAGAAAAAAAAGAAATTATCGCTTCGAATCGAATAATAGAGACAGCTGTTTAAAGCCAGTGAACATATGTCAAGGTAGCTGAGGTATTTGAAATAAGAATTTTTTTATTTAATTAATTGCTAGGACAGTGAACCGGAAGACAATCAACTTTTTGTGTTCAAAATTTGATTGTTCGAATGATTAGAAAAAAGTATAGTGGTTTAAATTTTACTACTAAACCAAAATATGTCATTAAATCATTTTGGCACCTATTATTCCCTTCCGGTACGTCTTGAATTAAAAAATCTAAATGATGACTAGAAAGGAACTTCGATAAATGAGCAAAGGTTGTTCCCGATATTTCAAAGTAATGCCTGGATATCATTTACAATAGTCGGATGAAAATTTTTTGTTCATCCTGATATTTTGGTAATTCGATGAGAATTTTTATGATTCATTGGACGATAACATTCTGTGTAAGTGTTGATTTAAAAAAATATGCACGCATAGGATAATAGCATTTTGAGAAATTAAAAATGAAAAAGAAAAGCAAAGAAGTAAGGAAATATCTTATTTTCTTATTTTTTTTTTTTGAACAATTTAAAATGGCCTAAATAAACTGTAAAAAGAATTAACGAAACTGTTGACATATTTAAAGGTTAAAGAAAAGTAAAGCAAACACAAGATATTGTTTCATTTTTATATTAGAGAAACAAAAAAGCATTAAACTTATTCGAAATCATCAGAAAACAGTAATTCTTTTAAATTGATTTTCCACAAGTTGTCATTATTTACTTTTTTTTTTTCTAAGATAAATAAACAATTTGGAAATTTTTGTAAACTTAAAAAGTATTCCAATTTTCTAAGACTTCTGCCGTGAATTTTTAACAGATATAAATGATTAGCTGATAATAGAATTCATTCATTCATCATGAATTTTAGTTCGTCTTCCACATTAACTTTTCATTACTTCTGGAACCTATGGCTTATCGAAGTTATCCAATGCAAATCAATTCACTTACTGATAATAGATTTATGTGAAAGCTCCACAGTGATAAAAATATGGCAACTTCTAGTGGCAGGAACGAATGGCTCTAAGTGTTGACAAGGCATAATATGTTCCAATTATATGTCAACACGATTGTCTTCGAGAGTTCCTGGTGAAATTCAAATATTTCAATGGAACAATGAAAGCTGAAATCTATAAGAGAGAAGAGAGGAATGAACACTTTTGAATTTTATTTAATCAGTGAATTGATCATCTGATGTTCAGTTATACTTCTACAGTGAATACTGTCAATGAATAGCAACTAGCTAAGAAAAGTACAAATTCTCGAGTTTACGTGAGTTACATGCAAGCATACGTAATACCATCGCAGCTCATCAAAAACTGAACGGAATTGTTGAGAGATTAAGACAATAAATAATTATGTTGATCATACGCTTCATTAAAAAATATTATAGTATTTTTGTGAATGATCCAAATAAAATCTCGACAAAAACGTCACTCACGTGATATGTGTTTATAATACTTTTTACACCAACCAACTTTATACCAAAAGTAGCAATTTAGACTGTACCGAAGAAGGAAACAAATATTTACATGAAAACTGCTTTTGTTCAGCTCTTAAAAATAACGACAAAAGAAGAAAATTTGGACATTTATTTTGCATTAGTAAAATAAAAATTTGAGAATATAGGTAAAAATAAAAATTATCTGAAATACAAATTTCTGATAATGATTTCTTCACATTTCTTCTATGGATAACTGCTAGCTATAACATGTTGCTTAGAATGTGTAGCATTTAAGAATCGCTGATTTTTATATAAATTATGAATTTTATTAAACTGCGAGTATCACTTTAGGAAAAATGATTACTCTGGCCACTTGGCACCATTACATTCAATTGATATTATTGTTGGTGTTTTTATTGTTGTTGTTGCAATTCTGTGATAGATGACATTATTATTCATTGCTTTGATGAATTAAATTATAAATCTTTGATTTCAATTCAATAAAATCTAAATCCAAAAAGTCATCATGAGATATTGAGTCACAGTAAGTAAAGTTTTGCCGTTTCTTCATAAATTCCTATAAAATTAATATGCTAGTTGATTATTCTGGTTGTTTCTAAGAAGAATCTGGAATTTTCAAATTTCCTTTCTCTCATTTTTTGTCAGAAAACCTCTATTGAAATGATTGCGAAAAGTTTCAAACACAGATAAACCATCAAATCAAATCAGCTAATTTCAAATTCGCATAAATGAATTGTGCACCTTTGACCTTATCATTTCCCGTCAGCGAGTAATAAACTCTCTTTCGTTCCACCACCGTGTTTTAGCTTAAGAATTTCTATTGCAAAATATCATGTTGCCTTCTTCCATTATCAGATTATGACCACTACCAGCTAAAATTATAAGTAGTGGTGATGACCCTTTACCCTTCCACCAACTATTGTCAGACCACTCGATTCGATCCTTCTAATAACCTTTCATCTTGAAATGAACGAGATGATTTAAAGTGTAGACACTGTCGCATACTTACTGGAATCCATGGGTAAATGAAAAGCGAAGTGATATAATCATGGAAAACCGGTACAACCTAGGTGGAAAATGATTTGAACGGAACCGAAGACAGGGATTGGTGGAATGAGATGATTCCTTCCTTCCTATATCTCCAAGACATGCAATGTTTTTTCTTCCATTCTTCGAAAGGTAATCATCAAAATTCTGATGGTTCCTTCGGTCTGTCTGGGACATGAAGGCGCCAGACGGCGCCGATTACTATGCTCATCCACAGCGCATATCTATGATGTTCATGTCATCGACAAAGTTATTGTGACTATTTCATGTACTGATAATAATATATGATAATGAAGGTAAGAGGTTAAGTCAGGATAGATAAGAAACCAGTGAATGCCTCACTTTAATCTCCGGAATTCCTGAAAGCCTAATAAATTAGACTGATTCGCTACTTTCGCCACCAATACAGTACTGTTATTAATAGGAACTTCTTGATGACAAGGAATTAGCAAATAAAAGAAGATTGTTTGCTATAAAAAGCAAAACTAAATTGTGGTAAAAGAAAGGGAAAGAGAGAGAGAGAAAAGAGAAAAAGTTCATTTCTATTTGAAAATTTTCATTAAAA